TCTTCAGCATAGAATCAACTCTGTGTTAACTCAAAAACAATATATCCAATGTTCTAAAAGTTTGACCCATACAAAAGTGTTGTTCAATGTTTCTTGATAAAATGCATGACAGTCATTGAGTGACACAAATAAAGTTACAATTGAAAACATGAATTTATTAGAAACTAAAATATAACTAACATTAATATTGCCCTGACGCAAAAAAAAGCATCTTCGAATCAACTTAGGAAAATGAACAGAAAAAGAATCATTTTCAATATCTTGATTATGTAATTTTGCAGGTTCATAGTGTGGATATTTTGTATAAAAAGCTCGGAAGTAAAGCATGAGTAGCACAAGAGAAATATGCATTTCAATTTTGTCCAAAACGTTTTTGGCAAAAGCTTTTCAATCATCCATTACCAAGTTTCGTCTCTTTATTTTCTGCCTGGGTTATAATCGAAGTATTTGCCTTTTGAAATCACTTTCACAAAAATTTGTTGACACACCAGTCAGTGACATGTGCAGGAAACTTGCAGTCGAAGATCGACTATTTAAACAAGAACCATCGTAGTAGAGAGAAAGTGATTTTTAACTCCCAAGAATCATTCGACATATACTCCCTCCAAGTAAAACAAGTTGACTGTTTCCATTCAACTAAAGTTTCTTGAAGTATGTTCGCCTTTCTTGTCATCCATGTTAACAAATAATCAGATGAAGTTGTCTGTTTTCTCGTAGATTGTTGAAGACAAAATTGTGGCGGATGCGCAGAGTACGGAACTAATCGGTTCCATTGCTAATTGGTACGCAACCAGCATGGATTCATTTCAATGTATCGAAGGTCCTAGGTTCATCATGGTGCCTCAGATTTTGTTGAATATTGATGCTCACTATGGACGATCACTTGCAGAAAAGGTAACAGTAGAATAAATTTTGCTTCGTGCAAATGCAGTCAAATAACTTGTTCAAAGTCTGTCCAAGGTTGCTTGGTCAGAAGTATCAACTCGTTTAATTGTAGCAGAATCTCGTGGTGAGCTTCCGTTTCGTTCAGATCTTTTGGCAGATCCTTATAAAAGCAAGCATATTTAGATACAAAAATCTTCCTCTTACGTAATAACGCATATTCACCATGTAGTTACAGGTACTTTTTATTGAAGATTCTAGTATACATGCAGTTGATTTGGACTGTTGTGAATTTCTATATAAGAAGAAAGACCACATAGAATGTTTCCAAATCAATTGATGGTGTTCTCAAAGAATTCAACGTTTAACAGAATCGAAAATCAGCAACTTTCATTATTGATTCTGATTCAAATTTGAAAGCAACTCTTTCATATGATCAAATTGTGCATTGTATAATTTATCGTATACACTATACTCTCCTAGACACTTTCACTTAAAACGATCTATATTAGCATGAAACTTTAAGATTTAGTGCTCATTTCAATATAAACATAATGTTGAAAGCCACCAATATTCATACGCTTATATCTTGTAGAAAAAAAGTAAAGACAAGAAGAATCCGATGGAAGTGATTCTGATGATTTTAAAGACCAATGTGCTGGTCCATTACATGAAGTTGTTCTAACCGCTAAAATATGTAAAAAGATAGTATACGCCTTATTCAAGAACAACCAAACATGATGGTTATCGTTACATGGAATGTTAAATAGCATCGATAGATCTTATGATATTCTGATTGTAATTTGGTCTGAAATGAATATGCTCTATCTTCTGACATCAATCGATCGAAAAGTACCTAAAGTAAGTAAAACCTATATTATATTGAATTGCACTTTAAATTTTCAAAGTTAATTATTGAAAAAACCCTCGTGTTGTAAACATCTTAAGTACATTCAATGTTCTGCACTTCAATAACCACTATGAGAATTTTTTTTTCTATTTTTGAAACTTTTATATTATTTCTTAGGATATCATCTGGTTCCTCGAACAATGTCGACGGTTAATCCTCAACCTTCAAGCAAAAGATTGTCCTACATTTTCTGTGGTGTTTCCATGTATTTAGTATTTCAAAGATTAACTTAAGATGACAACTGTTGACTCATCAGTACTCTATTTAAAACAAAATAAGTGTACCGCTATCCTCGAACATAAAATAAGAATTAAAAGATATACAGTTTGCAGCCACCATGTTGAATCCAAATTATCGTACTTTTCAGCAGACAACGAGAGAGGAGCAAACTGAAACACAAAAATATTTAAGAAAACGATTAGAAATTATTATGTAATCTGCTGCTTCTTCGGGATAGATGGATAGTGATAGCAATGATGATAATGATAAATGTCATTATCTTTCACGATATGTAGATAATCCACGAACATCATGGAAACAAAATGAAGTAACTCAGTATCTTAAATTCGACCATCATGAAACAAACACAACTAATATACTTGATTTTTGGAAGACGATAATCCACTCTTTTTTATCTTTGACAAAAGTTACATACAGTATTTGAACTGTGCTAGCAATATCAGCAAGTGTTGAACGCACGTTTAGTGCGGCTGGTCAAGCGGTCTCCGGACTTAGTAAATGGCATCCTTTTTCTACATTCAACCAAGGAAATGAAATTAAAAAAAAATAACAAGTAGAACGTGGAATAAAATAAGACGTTGTTGAGTAAAACTGAATAACAATTGATTTTTTTTCAACTGAGTAAATTCGAATTAATTCTCAAAAATATGTTTACCTAAGTTCGAGTTGTGTTAGGCCATAAAAAAACATTGTCCTAGGGTCATATCGAGATGCAAAAAAAAGTTGTCCCCGGATAATGTCGGAGTACAAAAAAAAACATAATTGTCCTCGGGTCATGTCACGAAAAGCTTAAGTATCTGTGGGTCAGGTCAAGTCAAGAAAACGTGTTTCATGTCAGATATCGATAAAGATATGATCACATAAGTAAAGGTTTATACATATGTGTCTATGTCCCGTTATGCTACGAGAAATTTATATGTTGACAATGCATGCGTATTCATAATATTGTAAGATGTTACATGATGTAGAAATAAACTGCAGTGATTGCTTCAATAAATCGTGGTATCAGTAAAACTTTTATCGTGTCTTGATGTATGATTTTGCAAGAATCGTACGCCAGAACGTGATGTGATTTTTACAGTTACAAAGATTTTTCGTACGATTTTCGTCTGATCTTACAAAATTTTGCTCTTCTTCACAAAGTATAAATATCTAAAAATGGAAAATTATATATTGAAGTGTATAGTTTTGTAACAGCAATAATGAGTGAATTTGGAAAAAGAAGATTTGAATAATAACAATCTAATAGTAAGCAATTAATCATAATAATGCAATTTAATATAAAGTGTAAGTGTGCCTTTTGTTTTGATATTTCTATTATTCAAGTTTTTTTTCGAACTTATGCTTCGGTATTATTGTAGAATTGTATATTTGAATGTATAATTTTCATTTCAAGACATTTATTTACACTTTCGTCCACACTATATCCATCAGTATATGTTTATATTTATGGATTATTTCATGTTGTATTGTTCAACTTCTAGCTGCTATTATTTGTTTTCTAATAAATAAAAAATTAAGGTCACAACTGATGTCTTTAAAGCTGATGATAATCGTACTAAATAAAAAATATCAAAAATTCTAAACTTATTGTAAAACTATATTACACTGTCTTGTTATAATTAATTTGTTTACTATTATATTGATATTATTTAGACTTTTTCTTTTAAAAAAGTCTACGCAATTTCATTTAAAAAATCACGAAGGTAGTAGGTTTATTACAAGCTACCATAACTTACCAACTAAACCTGACTCCCCCTCTCGTTAAATGCCAAAACCTTCTAGATCGATTCTATGTCAAAGAAGGAAAAAAAGACCAAAACAAGGTCTTCCTTGCAGCTACATTTCGAAGTGTAAAGGTAGAAACAGCAGCACCAGCAACTTTTCTTGAGTTGCATGTGAGTATGTTAGTGTGGGATGCTGCTCTGAAGTGTACGTATCATATGTATTCATACTCACACCCACACCTTTAATCAATTTTGGTGAATGTAGGTAACAAGAAGACTCACATTCACGCACTCTATGAACGGTGTTGTCAACAATATTGATAGTTCTTGAACACCATATGAAAAAGAATTAAATTTCATACGTTGTCAAAAAAAAAAATTTCTTTGAATTTACGATGTTCAATTACTCGTATGAGATCAGTTTTATTTGTTTTGATTATTAAATACTATTTCTATCTAAAAAAAAACAACAAAAAATAATTTTATTCAATAGTATTCAAAAAGAGAAAAACTTCTTAATGAGCTCAACAATCGCATGTACAATCCAATAGTTTATTCTTACAAAACTTCATATTTTTATAGATAGAATAAATAGGCTTCTAAGTGAATACATTCAATGAAAATAATAGTCTTTTCTAACATAAATTTTCTGTACAAATAACGATAAAAGAAAAATGATAAAAAAAGAAATATTATCTATTCAGAATTGTTCTGACCTATGTAGATATGAATAGAAGAAAGAAACCAAAATGTAGTTACTATAACATCAATTGAAAATAAATAATTTTTATTTGAAAATTAATTCATACTTTTCTATTCAAAATACAAATCATAGTTGGTTTTAATTTATCTAAACAATTATTAATAAATGAAAATATGCTTACATCATCTCTTAATGAATTTCCTATATCATTAAGAATAGTTAATTGTAGGGTTGAAATTACCTATTTGAGAATAATATTCTGATTCAATTTTTAGATCGTTTATAGATTATAATGCTCCTAATAGAAATTCTCTTTTGTATGTCGTTCATTAACTGTATTAATTTCACCAACATATACAAAAAAAAACACAACCATCAATCGGTACATGTTTTTTTATTTTAATTTCTATTAGATAAATATGTTGATTCTATATATTCATCAGCTGATTTACTTATCATATCATTCTGAGTAAGTACTCATTTTTCACATAGAAACACATGTTTATGAACAAAAACTATTTGAATGGCAAAGGCGAGTCTAAATTGTTGAACTTATACATAATAATGATGATATAGCAGTAAAAGTTGAAGAAGCTTTTACTGTCAGTTGTTCTAAATCAGGATAAGATGTTGTTGTAGATGGAGATGTTAATGAAATAATAACTCGAACTGATAGAGTAGATGATACTGAATGATTCATTCTATGAATATGTAGAACTTCACTTATGACATTTTGACGACAACATTGTGAGTGAGCATGATGAAAATGAGCAATATCTAGTGTAACAAATCAAAAATAAAAGTAGAAATATTTTCAAATTTTCTTTCAGATCTAAGCTCTTATTTTTGTTTTATTTATTTTCAAAAATCTTAAGTTTACGTCGTAGATCGTTGTTTTCAATTAATGTCATTTCGTATTGAATCATTATTCTATAAATTAAAAAAAGATAATGTAACGCACTCTCATTTTCTTCTCACGCTATTCAAAAAAAAAACCTAGGTACGTTTTATTATTATAAGTATTTTATTGCAAAAGTCTTTGAAAAAGAATTTATTTCACATAATAAATGATTAATATTCTTTTTTTTTGGAATTTCTCAAGAAAAATTTTAACTACGACGTATAGATTAATTGATGAGAAACAGTGATATTCTGTCGAACTTTATGCTCTTAGCAAAAGTAAGTATTTTCATATGTAAACAAAGGTTTAATAATGAATTATGTTTAATTATCTAGAAAAATAACACTTTCATTTTTATGCACACATAATAAGAGAAAAAATGCATAATACATTATTATTCTTTATCTAGGGGTGTACAGTCACCATCTGTGACAATACACGAATAATATGATAATAAACGCATGACATCAATCTATTATAAGTGCGATGTCTATTCTTCGTAAAGTTCAAATCAGTATAAGTATACGTGGACAAAAGAAACATGTTATTGTTGTTAAACTATACATTTTCTAGGCATATTGTCTATTATTTTTGTGCAAAATAAAGTCATGATTTCCTATGCATAAGCTATAATCAAGGGAATATCAAAAGTAGATCAAACAAAAGAAAAAAAAAAAAAAAAACAAGAAACGTTGAAGTTTCTTTTTTTGTCATGTCATGTAAATTATAGAGAAACGGACGGTGAAAGTATATGTATATTCTACGCTTATTTAGGTATTGTTTTTGCCTTATCCCATATTCACTTTTTTTTCTGTCGTCGTCAATAATATTATCGTCACTATCAAATATATTAAAAATAATAGCTCGCTATTGTTCTTTTATTTAGCGTTGCCTGTTTCTTGCGTTAGTTTTTTTTCTCATTCATCAAGAAATACTCTCATGCTTCATATGCTCTTTTTTTCTCAACAAAAGGCAGAAAAGAAGATTTTATTTTTGTTTCCAATCTTCATTCTATATTATATTTCATGTTCGTGACAAGAAAAGTATCTAATCATTTTTATCCTTTATATATATATATGCGAAGAAATAATTTACAATCATTAAGGTATCATCGATTATTTCTACAATATGTTAAGATATTTTTACTTCCTCGTTTTTTTTTTCTGTTTGAATCTGTTTTGATTACATTCACGCACACATTTCTCTTTCTCCTATATTATTATCAATTAACTTCTATTTTGCCCTTGAACATTTTTAGAATTATACCTGAATGTTAATATATTCCATATAGCATACAAACATTTTCGTAATCAAAAATTTTATTTTTCAATTTATCATATCATATTTGTCATGATTATCTCAAGTACGTATTCATGCATATATTTTTGAGTATAGACAAAAAAAACGTTTCTTTTGTCATCGTACATTTTCCCTTATCTAATACAGATCAAAAAATATAATTTTTATTAGTCTCTTATTAAAGAAACGATTACCTACCTTACGTAATAATTTGACTATAGATTTTATATCTATATTTAAGCAAAGGAATTGGCATTGGTGTCCACCTAATAGTTTTAATCTTTGATAAAAATAGCAAATAATTAGAATTTTTTTTCTTTATTAATGTCCTATTTACTTATCGAAAATTATTATCTGAAGACTCGCTATTTTTATTTCTTCTTATCACGCCTGAAGAGAGCATTTTAAATGGAAAATGTTCTCACTGTTTTTTCGTTGTCTCATTTGCATGTATATCTACATTTATTTTGACACGCGAGTATAAAAAAAAAATACTTCTTATTTAAGATTAAAAATAATATCTCAATGCACGGAATCCACATTTTTTATACATAACCAATAATATAATGTGTATTCAGATATTTGTCTAATGTAATTCTGTTCAAATATTTTTAATGCATTCATCAAAAGAAAATTTATGTATTAATGATCAATTAGGTCTTGATAAACAAGATAATCGTCCAGATATTGATTCACCAACACGTAGTTATGCAATTATTGAAACAAATCCAAATGAATTAGATCATATTATTGATCTTCTTCGACAATTTTTTCCGAAGACAAAAGTTATTGAATATAGTAATCAAAATCATTCGCCAAATCCAACAATTCCACAACAACAACAACAAATATCCTTTGAATCAATTTGTAATTCTCCTTTTTCAATATTATCAAAATCATCATTTGACAGTGATATTAATAATGATCAATTATCATCAAACACAAGTCCACAAGTAATAAAATGAAAAGAAAAATAGAAAAAAAATTGTTTTGTAAAAAAAAAAAATTTTGATTTGATTTTTAGACATTTAAAGGTAAAGTAAAAGATTATTTACAACGTCGTTATTTAGAACAAGTTCGTGAACATGAATCTCCTAAAGAAACCTTGACAAAATTTCCTAATGAAAATACAAATTCACTTGATATATCATCAAATTCAAATGTTAATAAACCTTTAATAACTTTAAAATCTCATTCATTTGATTCATCATCAATTGTAACTGAACAACCCATAGCTGGTAATTTAATTCAAACAAATTCTCCTTCTTTTCTACATTCACAAAGCAAACGAGGTTTATTACAACGTTCTACAAATATTGATATGGATGATACATCGAATGCTACTGGAAACATTATTTTTACTATAGATCAACATGATGATGACGATGATGATAATGACAAATCTTGTGTATTTCGACATTCATATTCTGAATCACAAACAAACGATAATAACAATCATTGGTTTATACCTTGTTATCATGCAGGTGAACAGGAAAAAGACAAAAGAACATCATCGTTTTCTAGTAGAATATCATTACCACATATGCCTCATTTAGCATCAAGTGATCCTGGTCCATTTCATTCACCATGGTTTAATACATCTACTTTTTCCTATGAATTTCGGTTTCCTGAATGTCAAGAACAACTAGCTGCTAATTCAGAAGGAAGTATTGCTCAATTATCAACGTTAACAAACACGCTGTGTGATGAATCAACTGACTTTGCTCTTGTTAGTCCAGGGTAAAAACAAAGTTGATGAATTCATGTCTATAGACATTAATGAGCTCTTTTTAATCTAGATGCAAAACAGAAAAACACGACGTAATTACTTCTAAAGATTTATCGTCGATTCTATCTTGTCAGATTTGTGGACAAGAATTTGTTTCACGTCAAATGTAAGATTATTGAAAATTAAAAATTAAAATAAATTAGTTTGTTTACCTTCAAAAGTGCATCTTTATATTTCAGGTATTTAACCCATTGTCGCACTCACCTTAAAAATTCATCTCAAGATGATCTTTCTGATATATTAGATTTCGATCCAAATTATGATCGTTCTAGTAATTCACGTGATTTTTCATGTAAAATATGTTCAAAACATTTTGCTCGGTGATTATTTTTTAAAACAAAAATAGTTCTTTGAAATCTTATCATGTAATTGTTTTTTTTTTATAGTAGTGATATGTTAAATCGACATTTACGTTTACATGCTGGTACTCGTCCATATCGGTGCGTAATATGCAATGCTTATTTTTCACGTAGTGATCATTTATCAACACATTTTCGTACACATACGGGTGAAAAACCTTATACATGTTCCCAATGTTCATATTCCGCATGTCGACGAGACATGATTACAAGACATTTAAAAATTCATACGAAACAACGTCCAGAACGAAAACGTTCTACGACAACTATTGCTTCAAATGGCGATTCTTCAAAATAATCATACTGATTTTTGGTACTGTAAAAATGTCTAGCTTATTTTCTAGTCATGTCTTTTTTTTTGTATTATGTATATTCTGTAGAGATGATAGACGCAGGCGTCCGCTTGTTTTTTTTTCTTATCATAAGGTACTAGATGTTAATCTCTGATTTAAGGTAAAGTCTTTTCTTTTTTAATGAAAAATAATATTTAAGTTATTAAGTTATGAAATAAAGTGAATATTAATCATGATTGACGTACCAAAAACAAATTACTTTCTCTTTCTTTAAATAAATAATTACAATGAATTAGTATAGATAACGAAAGTATTTCTAATTATTATGTTCTAATTTTTTTCTAAAAATAAACTTATTCAATTAGTAGTATTCATTCTTTATGAATATAAGATTATGTACATAAAAAATTAAATTCTCGAACAATTTTCTTTTTCGATTACTATCACTTATCCAATGAATAGATATTGATATTTATTGAAATTACATATAAATATGTAGTGACATTGTTACTTAAGGAAAAATAATAATATCATCAAGATAAGATTAAATAAAAAAAACTTACAGCGAAATGTTCATAATGGCATTCATTATTAAGGCTTACAAGGGAAGGTCCCCAACTGATAAATCGCTGCTGAATTTGGATTGTGTGCATTATGTAGATTCATATTATACTATGGAATACCTTGCAAAAAGTTCGAGTCGTCAGCTTATTAGTGCTGAGATACAACATTTTTACGGTATTTTTTAAGTCAATGTCGTGGTCTCCTAGAGGAACAAGATAAAAAACTAATTTTCGAATTTCGACTTGAAATTTTCGCACAAAAACAAGTCTTTTTAATAAAAATAATTTATGATATAAATTTCCGATCTTTTGATTTGTTCCTATTGTGAAATAAGAATATTGGCTATGTTGCTGTATAGGAATGATGCGAATGACATAATTTTATTATAACCATAATGAAGAAATAAGAACAACAAAAAGATCTGAAACTTTCTCCAGAACTACTCACGTTTAGGCCTATCTCTGCGCAAAATTTCAAGTCGAAATTCGAAAATCTAGTTTTACTCGTGTTCCTATGAAAAATCATGGCATTGGCTTAAAAAAAATCCCATAAAAATGCAGTATCTTAGTACCAATAACCTCAGAGTTCGAACTCTTTTCAGAGTATTCATAGTATCATATGAATCTACATGGTGCATATAGTCCTGACTGAAAAGAGATTGATCAGTTGAGGGATTTCTCTCGTTCATTTACTTTTACTTCTTAAGAAAATAATGTTAGTAAAGAGTACGTTATGTATACATTTTTGTTCGATTGTCTAACATTATAAAACAACGTTTGAGAAGTACAATTAACATATAAAGCATCTATTCTTCGTTCTTGATTTGTTCAATTTTGTTTTTGTTGAGTTTTCACATATAACCATATCTTAAACGAGAAATTTATTGATCCTTGCTGCCTTTTATATATTATATTTTGAATTGTTACTCTCGCTTTGTCATCATGAGTATAGCGTATGTCCTTCGATGATGATAAAGAACATAAAGTCATAAATATCTTTGCTTTGCTTTATTTTATTTTATTCTAGATAGTTGATTTATATATATTGTGATCAATTAAAACTTTATATTGTTCTCATAAGTGAACAAACTTCAGCACTTAGTGAAGCTGTACAAAAAGATTGACACGATACAAATTATCGATTTCTATTCATATTATTAAATGAAAGATTTGCCGATTTCTATTACTGCTATACGAAATAATAGGTTTGTTTCAAGTTTATTTTGAATATATTTAAATAATTTATTTTATTTTAAAAGTTATCCAATCAATTATCCATGTAATTTTATTAATATAATAAATTCTTCATTGAATACAGTTGAACCAAATTTATCATCAGTCGGTTGGGGTATTTATGGTAATCAACAAACATGGGCTGATTTACATCTTTGTTAATTAATTCAATTCTTGTGAAATTTCTTTTTTTTTTTTGATTAGTTTGGTTTTTCTTCATTGAATATCAATGTAGATCATGTATTATTAGAAAATTATTCTACACAGAAATTTTTTAAATATGAATGCAAATAAATATGAAAAATAAAATCAGCTATTACTTTCAATTGTCATTTATCGATTGATAGACTGACGGTAAAATAGGACATCGTGACTTTTATTATCTATATTTGAATAATTGAACTATGTATACATTAAAATCTTGATTCTAAGGGCAATAAAAGTAAACAGCCTAAATAAAGAAAATCATGTAAAAGTAACTTTGAATAAATATCATTCAGATTAAATCAAGATCAAAAAAAATCCTAAGAAACCAAACATAGTCAACATAATTCAAGTTTGTGAATGATTTTTTTGTATTATCAAAAGATATTCTTTTTTAGTTGTTTGTAAAGTATTAAACAAGAGAGAATCTTCATTATATTCGAACGAGAAATTGACATCATATTTAGACATAGACTACGAACTCAGAATCTATGGTGGAATTATTTTGAAGCCACATGAAATATGAAACGAAGAAATTTGAATCGTTCCTTTCAAGGAATCTATTGCATGAGAGAAAAATAAAAATTATTATATTTATCTTTCCGCATGGTTTATCATACATGATAACTATCATCACGAACATATTTTAATATTGTTTAATCACCCATCGATTCAAAATGACGTGTTCCTAAATCTTCTCATTAACAATATAAGCTGCTTCAATATCTACCATTTTTTTAAATTCTTCAATGATTAAACTAATAGCCTTCAGATTATATTATATTGTTATTTCTTTCATAGAAAGTGCTAAGGTCTCAAAATTAGGTAGTATATAAAAAAAATCTTGCTAGTTTCTTTGGGAAATATAGAATTCTTTCCAATTGTTAAAGAAATGTATATTCACACTTTCGCAATATCTAATTTCTTTGTTTTGTAATCACGAGAGTTTTCATGATAAGAATGATCATAAATCAAAACTGTTGTATGTATATTTCAAGGCATAGATATCCACTGCAATTAAAGTCTGTTCTGTTACAAGAAAAACTAGATAAAGATTTTATTTATAGATAAATAAATATTCAATAAGATATTTTTTATTTTTCTAAAATAATATATTCACATAATTGAATTCCTTTATTTAATTGTTCTTCAAGATTATTAATATCAAATTTTTTTTTTAACCAATATAAATAAGCTTTATTCATATTCATTTTTTTATTATATGGTTGTAGAATTAATTTTTCAAGTAAATCAATATTTAATTGATCATTATTTACAATTAAAGTTATTTGTAATTGTTCGTGATTTATTTCTAATGAATTCCATACATCGAAATTATTTAATTTAATATCATTTGTCAATAATGAAGGTTTTCCACGTTGTATAAGTAATGTTGCATAAGAAGATTTATTTAAAAATTTTTTAATATTATTATTAAACATTATTAAAATTTTTTTATTAGGATTACTAAGTAAATGTTGAATAAATTGTAAAAATTCAATACAAACACTTTTATTTATTCGTTTTTTATCTTCACGTAATGATGAAACAGGAAGAAAAATTGAAGCTATTTGTAAAGCAATTATTGAATGATATGTTTCATAAACATTTATATCATCAATATTATGAAAAATAATTCCATTAACATATGGATAAATATAATAGAATATTAAATTTAAATTAAAACAAGTTAATGATGATGTATATAATTGATTTGTTGAATTAGCATGAATAATAAATGTAAGAATTTGTTGAAATGGATGTTTTTTATTAAGATATAAAAGAAGTGATTTTATAGATGAAAGATTCTTAAGATGTAATTTATTTGTTGTTGCAATATCAATAAGAATAATGAAACCAAGTAGATCATTATGAGAAAGAAAATCTTCTTTTAAAGAATTATTAAAAATTTTTTCATAATCATTTGTTATTAAAGAAAATAATTGATTAGATGAACAAAATGAAGCTATATGAGGATAATTTGATGACAGTGAAGAATTTAAAATATTATAAAGATGTGTACCGATTTTATCCGATGATAAATCAAAAGAAAGAATTAATAAAGACATTTGAATAGATCTAAAAGTTTTAATAAAATTTTATTTTAATTCAATGTTAATAAAAATATTTGAAAATTAATAGAAAAACAAATAAATATATATGCTTAGTTCAATAATCTCAGAGATTCTAAAAATAAGTAAATTTCGTTCGCATTAGTCGGAAATATGTGACAAAAAAACAACTGTATCCTAAAGAAAAGCTTTGACAGTCAATGAAACTTGAACGTAAATTTCCGGATCAGAATATCTGCAGGTTTATTCGTTGACTATCAATCATTTCCTGCCCTGAAAGGACAAAAAATTTGCTGGAAGTCTGTAGAAAAATTCGAAAACATTTTAATCTAGAATACTACATCCAAATTTTATTGATTTTCGGCGTACTCATATTCACTTGAATGAATAAGATGAAACGACATATAGTAATTCCGAAAATGAACGATGTACTAAGAATCTTGTCTATATTTTAACCTGAAGCATAATTCAAATGATTATTACTATTTTTAATCATAAAAATCTCTTATTTGAAAATGGTTTTAATTCTATATTTGCAATAAAAAATACCCAATGGTCTATAACAACGGCTTGAAAAGTTCACTTGACGATGTCATAAATACAATTAAATTTGTTCAATGAATGTTATCTTAATGTATGCATTATTTTTCAGCTTGTGTATTATTGAAAAAAAAAATAATCTGAATGCAAGAAATCAATTCAATAAGAAATAACATTAAATTACATTTTGAATTTTGCTTTAAAGTACCTAACAATTGTTTTCATTGGTTTTATTTTTCAAACAAATCATGACAAATGAAAAGAGGTCGTTTGACGACACACAGAAATGAACATCAAATTTTGTTAATAAAAATCTATTGATTTTAAATGGAGAAACAAAAGCTGTTACTATCATCCCTATGGGATTAAAATGTGAAACACGACGTAGTTGTTTTTTCTAATCAGGGCAAGATTGCTTTGTTCTATTTTTTCGGGGGTTCATTTCTTCGCCATCCGTTTACTTAATCCTCCAGAAATGCCATAAGAAAGTAGTTCATATATTATAATAACTCGTTATTAATATACGGTCTTTGACGATTGTATATCAACAATGTTTGCCATGATCTGTGATAATCTCTAACTAATGTCTGTCTCTGTCTGTGGGAAGAGAGAGGTGTAGTACACATCTCTATTTTAAATACTTTAAAATTCATTTAAGATTGTGTTTTACAAAAAAAGAACGATTTTATTGTTGTTAATACAAAAAAATCAATAATAATCATTGTAAAACACATTGACATTTTACAGTACGATGAGAACGATCTTTAACTGATAAATGAGCAGCTCGATTAAATAAATCTTGTACACCATCATTAGTTTTAGCTGAACATTCCATATAAGCATCAGCTCTAATTTTTGCTGCTGTTCGTCTCCCCATTTCACTTGTTATCAATGTTTCACCTTGTGTTTCAAGTTCAGCAATTCTTTGTGGATCATTTCTCAGATCTATTTTACATGCAACTAATATCACAGGACATTGATTACAATGAACTCGAATTTCTGGTGTCCATTTTTTTATAACATTCGTAAGTGAGGCTGGATTATCAACACTAAAACATATAAGAACAATATTTGTTCCATTATAATATAATGAACGAAGATGATCATGTTCTTCTGCAGCAATTATGTCAAAAAGAGCCATATAAATCTAGAAAATACAAGTTAAATATTCTAATTTCAACTTGATATATTTATTCATTTACAGTTCTCTGACCAACGTGTATCGGAACAACAGGTGTGTCGATAATATGTCGAGTATCATCGGTAATAAATTGGTTTGTTGTAAATGAAAGTAATAATGTTCTTTTTCCAGACATGGAATCACCCACAATAAGTAATTTTCTACTTGTTTGTGTCGTTTCGCTTCTATTTTTCACCATTTGAATCTAACAAAACAAATCAATGAAATCAATTATTTTCATAATCAATCTAAGAAAAAGAGCTTATTTCGATCCTATGAATTTATTTATATATCTCTTTAAGGAAGAAATAGGTTCAGACAACGGCGAAATAGTAATATCATGTTTTCTACATAACGATAGGTATGTAAATATAAGAAGATTGTTTACTGCTTGCCTACGACAAAGATAACAACACTTTTTTTGTTCTTTATGTATATATTATTACAATGAAAGATGATTCATTGGAAAGTTTCTTTTCATAAAGGTTCGTTTTTAGAAGTTTGTTATTTAAAGTTGACGTCGAAAAAATATTTCTCTTTAGTTATGACGTTTAATAAACAACAACTCAACCTTATACTACATATAAGTAATCTTTATTTAGAGATAACTAGAAATTTTCACAGGTTTTCGATTTTTTCAGTTCAATCGTAAGATTCTCTTGACAATCTTGTTTTAAATCTATCTCTTTCTTCAAGCTAGGCAGACCATGCCGTCAATTTCTTATCAAAACCGATGGTTCGCACGGTTTACTCCTTTTTTTTTTATGAAATTTTTTTTAACACTTAGGGCATACCAAAAGTAGTGACAATGGCACCTAAATACCGTATAGTAAGCTTTAAGAAACTTTCTTTCTATATATTCTGATACAGAAAAGAAGGCTCTATATTTCTAGGCTATTTGATCATACTTCAACTAATATCATAATAATAAACTTTCGATAAGATTTCCTTCGCTTATGATATGTGCATGATAGTACTAGTGCCTGTTTAGTGGATATTTTTTGAATAACTTTTAATGGAAACAAGTTAGAGAGCTGCAGTTTTCATTGCTTGAAAGAAAAGATGCATCGAGACATATTTTGCAGGTTTTTTGACATGACTGTTTGAAGGTTTTCAATCAACCTCTTTAAAAATAAATCTACTCGAGGTGTTTACAGTGAATTCTCAAATGTCAGGTCTGTATTGAAATCGTCGATGGAAGAACTACAAGACTGTATGAGGTTTAGAATTAATCATTCAGAAGTAGTAGACACCCTAGTTAAAGTTTTAAGTGATTTTTCTGGGATTTCTATTAAGGGGGGGGGGGGGGGGGGGGGGGCGCGCCCCCCCGCACACAGCTCCCTGTTTTTTGTGTTGCCGTTTCTCCGTTGA